AAAAAAGCAAAATAAATATTAAAATAATCATCACCTACAAACACTTGTAAAAGGATAATACAAAAAAAAAAATAAATAAATAAATAAAAAAAAAAACATAACAGCAGAAATAAAACAAGGTTTCAGAAATTAACCAAGAGATGTAGTTGCCCACAGTTAGTCAACTGGGATAGGTTCAAACTTATTTCAACAAAACAGGGAAATATACAATCCCTCACTCAGAAAAAACACGCATAAACGGTAAACCAAGATATGTAGTTACTCAGACAATCGCATTTCGGATTTCCCCAAAATGCTACAACCTTCGAATAAAAGTAAACCAAGATATGTAGTTTTGTTGAAACGAGCATTCTTCTGGTGAAAAATAAATAGAAAAAAACGGCTATTCCTTGTGCCCTATATCATTGTCTGGAACGTCGTCTTCGCTTTCAATCTCCTGAAAAAAAAATCAACTTGTTCAAATAACTTAATATGTGGTCCTCCAAATTAGGAATCGAGTAACGGATAAATCCTATAAAACTCGTAAAAACAGTTTGGTATCCTCTGAACCGACAAGACTGAATATAGGAGTATATAAAGGATGCTATATTCCCCTTTCTAATATTGCAACTACCACCTTACTGGAAATCTGAAAGTGACTTACAGCAGGTAATGTCTTCTCGAATTCTGTAAGTAATCCCTGCTCTACAAGTAGCAACCTTCTTTTGATAAAATCAACGAGTCTTCTATTAGTGGCTCCTTTATGTGCATCTGCTTCAACACGTTCCGATTTGACATCATTTTGTTGTGATTCAGAAGAAGCAGAAATAGGAACATGCGGTTGAGAAATACCAGAAGAGGCTTCAGCCTGAGATTGTGCTTGAGAAGTTACTGAAGCAGAAGGAAGATTCAGCTTTTGACAGATCACTTCTTGTATTTTCAATTCCTTGTCCTCAGCAATTGCTTGCCATCTTCCAAACCCGTGCCTTGATGTTCATACAGCGAAAATGCATGAGTAAGCAGAGTTAAAAAAAAAAAAAACGACTTGTTCTTGAATAAAACCGATTTTTTTGGCATTTTCAGGACAGAACCGATTTTTTTTTTTTTTTTTCAAGGGAGAGAATTTCACAATAATCATTTAACTTGAAAATAATACACATGACTGACTCCATACAGTTCATTATCTTTCGTATGTCCTTGGTCCTAAAACTTCAGATCAGTGAGAAGAGCTAAAGAAAGGGAAAGATAGCATACGTCATTACTGCTTGCAGCAACACCTGATCATGATGCTGCTTCCAAACCTTCCTCCTTTCAGTCTTGGGTGGCGGGATAAAATATCATCCGTGAAAAAGACTGAACATTTTGATAAAACCTCCAACTGCAACCAAACAATGTTCTGTCAAACTAAACATGCATCGGACGAGAAAGCTGGAACTCACACTAAACATTTGGCAACTATGAAACATTGATATACTCTATGTAAATGATAGGATACGACAATTTATCTTAAATGTATGAGACACCTAAAAGTTTGTCCATGTTCAAGCAGTTGATCAACTTTGAAGTTATTAAAGAAGTAAGAAGAATGGAATCATGTAAGTCCATGTTCCATAATTTTCTCGTTGGCCCTCGGCAAAAGGAATTAAAAAAAAAGCAATTGTAAACCTACTCAAAAATAGAGAAGACTCGTGATAATCTGCTCAGTAAATATCTTATCAAAGAATCAACTAGGTCTGACATGAATCCTATCAGCACTGAGCATTCACAAGTTCAAGCAGTTGATCAAAGTTTTTCAATCATATCAGACAAAACACAAGTCAAAACTAGAACTATTATAGGAACCCTGGAAACAGTCTCTTGATTAGCAAATCATAAGTGACGAAATTCGATTTCTTCCCAGTAACATAAAACCTTACTTTGTTCCTCATCACTGATAATGTTCCCAACCTGCGAATTACATCATCTACTCTTAGTCCTTCTTTGGGCACACCATCTGCAACCAACAAAAACTATGTAACGGTAACAAGGATCCAAATCAAGAAACTCACAGAAGAAATTAGTAAACAGAACAGGTAATTTGATTGCCTGCACACATGAGTGAATCATTTTTTCCTTCGGCTAAGTGCCTCACGAAAAGCATCCCGTACCTGCATAATAAAATTATATTACCTATGAGCACATAAACTACTAACTGCATAAAAAGCAGTCAAACTATTTTTGCCTGCTTAATGAAGCATTTCACGCCGGATTAAACTGAGCCTTCTAAATTTTGCAAATTACAAATGTCTATCAATACACAAATTAAAAAAAGAGGCCATGTTGAAGACTTCTCTGTTCTGATGGAAGAGAATGTGTGATCAAATTAGTATGTAAGCAGAAACTTCAGTAGAATTTCCACAAATTAAATTTTCAAAAATTAAGAAAAAAAAGAAAATAAAGAACCAAACAGAAATGATAACGCTTGAAGAAACCAAGCATTTGGAGAGGCACAAAAAAATGCAAAGACGCACGGCACAAGTGTGAAAAATCCTCAACTCCAATTTGAAAAATACCAACAAAACTCCCGGGAATCAGCAACTTTGCTATCAAATATCTGCCATTTATCTAAACTTTGTACTTTCTCAGTAATCATGGTTCACATTTATATATCATTACAAAGAGTATATTCATGTATCCATCTAAAACCAAAGTTGAAACATCGCAATAACACACCCAAACCTAGGAAGTGGTTAAGATACACATAATCGGATAGCTGGAGGTAGGCAAAGCAGCCATATGCCATTCTGGAGGTCAGATGAAACAATAACTGTGGTTAAGACCGAAAACAGACCCGTGGCTAACGGCTGGTCAACTGTTGACCTTATTTATCGTGACCACACGCCACACATGACCTGAATGTGTGGTTTTAGATAGCCGTATCTTTGACATGTAAATATACATTAATGAATAATGCAAGTTTAAGATTCCAGAATGTGTAGCAACTATAACCGAGATATTGATCAACTACAGTTTCTGAAAAATGAATATAGATTATCAGAATAGACAAGAAATCATTAACATACTCTTCAATTTCCTCCGGAGTCTTCTGCTTTAGGCGTTTCTCAAAGTCTCCCCAACCATTTGTCGTCGCTCCAAACCTATCAAAGAGTCCAAAATACTGCAATTACCCTCAAAGAAAGGATTATAATCTGCACTTGTCTGGAGGTTAAAAACGAGCAAGAAGAAAGGAAACAAGATCCGAAATTAAATAAGACAACTTGAAAAAAAAAAAAAGAAAAAACCTCATAATAATCTTATAGAACATAGCTCTCTGAGCATGATTAAACCCGAGACATTTTTGTCGACGGCAGCCCCACTTGCCTCTTCATCTTAGAAGCCCTCTTTCGCGAGTGTCGATACCATGGTTTTTAAAACGTTATACATGAGAGACCGAGATTTTAAAACTGTCATAAACACTGGAAGAAGCCACTAATTGAAAAAAAAAAAATAATAAAAAAAAAGAGTTATGATGCACAAAAACATGCAAAACTATTATAACTGCGAGTGCATTCGCACTCTCTTTTTCAAGTACTACTACAAATATACACACACAAACCAATATATCATAAACCAATTCCACCAGTCAAATTACAGCACCTCCAAGTGCCCAATCAATTTCAAACTATCCCTAACCAAATTATGGACAAGTAACTATACAAACAATGGTAAGTATTTGAAGTATTAGCTACACCTATCACTCATATACTCCTAGGGAGATAGATACTCATTCGGAAATACTCTCCAACCTTGGTCATAGTATCTCGGGCACGGGCAGTGCCAACATACATCACCTGTGGGAGTCGACGACTCTTTGTCAAGTTGTGTTGCAGATTACAAGGTGGTCGGTCGAGCCCAAATCAACACCTTACAACATTCATTTGAGCAGCCCTTCAAGCTGATATGGAACCTTAATTTTGATTTACAAGAGTCAGCAGCAGATAAGAGTGATTATGATAGTTATCTACCAGACATTTTCATATTGTTTGAAATTCTTTCTGTTTTTCTTCTTCTTCTTCTAATTCAAGTCAATGGAATCACGAAAGATTGCTCTTTTGTTTCACCTGCTGCTATGGAAGCTCCTTCCATTTTACATAATAATATTATCTTCCTTCATCGACTTCCCCTGATATTCAGGACAAATTATTTGGAGTTCGTTAAGGTGTAAACTCAATAAAAATTAAAAAAAAAAAAATGTTTTCCTTTAATTTGTTACCTCCTAATTTGTAGGAAGGAAGATCACATTAATTAATTAATAAATTAAAAAAAAAAAGAGAGAGAATCACTCAGGCAGTATAACTCTACCCGTCGTCAAAAACATAACGGAGTCCTCCAGTGGAAGTAAGACTGAAAAGCTGCTGACTTCAGTCCAAAAGGTAGTATGAAGAAGACGACCCAGGAAGCCCCTTGGCTCGGCCGCCGGCCTTCTCCAGTACTTTCCAAGATGGACATGGCGGCGGCGGCTGCACCGGCACCGGCAAAGCTAGACGATCTGAAGGCAGAAGTTCAGGATTCCTTTGAAGAAATAAGGTTGGGCACGGAATTTGACAGCAAGGTGACTTGGTCGAGCCTCTTTAACCCTAGTTCTTCTCTATTCTCTTCCACTCTCGTCTTCTCCTCTACCTCTTTTTCTTTTCTGGTCTCTTCTCTTTTGTATTGTATTGCTGTTAATTATAATGATATAGATGGAGGATATGGAGGATGAGGAAGCAGCCATGATTCGTGTTCTGCTCGTCGACGGCAGCTCCACTTGCCTCTTCATCTTGGAGGCTCTCCTTCGCCAGTGCCAATACCATGGTTTTAGTTTCCTTTCTCTTTTCCATAATCATTCATATTCTAATAATTAAGCTACTTTTTTAAATGTACTATAATTGAAAATTGAAAATTACACTTATGTGTATGTATATGTATGTGTGTGTGTGTGAAATTTTTGGCAGTGAGTACAGCAGAGGGAGCAATCACAGCACTTCGAATTTTACGCGATAACAACAGTCGAATTGACTTGGTAATAAGTGAAGTCGACTTGCCCGACATGGACGGATTTGTTCTGCTCAAGGAAGTGAGCCTCCGAATGGACATCCCGGTCGTATGTAAGACTTTTTTGTTTAAGCTCATTTCTTGTTTGTCATTTGAATTAGAGCTAAAAAAAAATGTGGCTTCCTTGATGAGATTATTGTTTGGTGTTTGTGTTTGTGTAGTGGTGTCGTGGGACGATAGTAAAGAACGGGTATTGAAGGGGATAATGAACGGCGCGTGTGATTATCTGGTAAAACCTGTGAGGGTCGAGGAGCTAAAGAATATATGGCAGCATGTGGTGAGGAAAAAGTTGAGGAAGAATAAGAATGTTGATGATAATAAGATTGTTAATCGTGTCGTGGGTGAATCTCACGTGGAGATGAAAGAAGCTTCCAACAATAACAGTGTTTGTTTTAATGAAAACCCGAAAAATGACAAAAGGCACACCCGTGATGAGGTGTCGTCGAAGCAGAAGAAGCCACGTGTCGTCTGGTCCCAAGAGCTTCACCGCAAATTTGTTGCTGCCGTTGATCAATTGGGAGTCGACAGTAAATTTACTACTTTATGTACTTATTTATTTATTTTTATTCGAGTATATAAAATTTTTTGACATGTCGATATATATATGTATGTATATGGTAGAAGCTGTGCCGAAACGGATCATGGAGCTTATGAACATCGAAGGTATTTCAAGAGAACATGTGGCCAGCCATCTCCAGGTAAAAACTTTATCTCATTGCTTAGTATATTTCCTTTTTTCATTTTCCCTTTATATATTTGGGTGGTGTTTTGTGAATGGCAGAAACACAGAATGCACCTGAAAAAGTCGAAAGGCGAGGCTGTGGGCCCACAACAAGCAAACAATGCACCATTATTGTCGGGCGTGCCATCGTTTAACAATACTACTTATAATAATAATTATGATAATCAACACATGATTAATGGTGGAAAATGTCCAACTTCAATGGCCAATCATCATCATCATCAAGATGGTGATAATCGAGTATTGGTTCAAGGAATGCCATTGCCGATAACGGTGTATGATCCATTTGCTGCTTACAGTGATTGGAGGTAATATAGTAAATAATAATAATAATAATAATAATAATAATAATAATAATAATAATAATAATAATAATTAATAACAAGTGTTTCGTAGTGGTCCTTTTTCTTTATATCGAATGATTAACAACTTATATTTGTCGTCGAGCAGCATTTCGTTTAGCGATGATCGGCTTCTTTATGAACTCCCTTCTCTCGGCTCGATTGATAATTCGAGTCAACATGATTTGATGCTGCCAGTGCCAGCTACTCGTGATTCGAATAGCCACAGCACGAGTTACAGCTTGATAACGACGTGTCAGAATATTATTCGTCGGGAGTTTCCTAAAGACCCTTCGACTGTTGGTTCCATTACGATGCATGTGCTTCAAAATAACAGCTCTGGACATGGACAAGGACAAGCTTCCCACCAACCACTCTGACAACAATGTCCAGTTGCCCTGAATTCAAATGAATTAGGTACTTATTTTATCTTCTTGTTATGTGCTTAGTTTTTTATTTTTTTTGGGCTATTTAAACAAAAAATAATTGTGTCGTACAGGGTGAGTCGATGAGCGTAATATGGCACGGTTGGTTTCTTTGTTCCCATCAAACGAGAGCTCTATCGGTCATCAATGATGGGTTGGTGAATGTATCTATCATTTCGTATATATCTTTTCTATGGACCAAAGTGGACATTGGTGTTAATTTATGCATGTTGAAAGCTACAGAGCTCAGTACATATGCTGCAAAAATCTTGTTCACGAAGATGCTACAAAGTGGACCTATATATATATATATATATAGATGCTACGGTCCCATTGCGGAACCATTCTGTCGAGATTTATAACCGTTAGATCAACTATCTCTGACAGTTACATGATGATCTAACGGTTACAAACCCCGACGAAATTGTTCCGTAACGAGACTTTAGCATATATAGGGATGACAATGGTAAATCGCGTGTAAATGAAATGTAGCTAACCCTTCTATCCTAAGCTCTGAAAAAAAGAATTAAATAACAAATATCCCTTCATCATAGAAATAATGCAATTTTAGTCCAATAGCATTTGCAGTTTCCCAAAACAAAATAAAAAAATAAAAAAAATAATAAAAAAAAAAATAAAAAACAGGAGAAAATGATGAGATGCGCTTATAAAATTTTCTTATTCTTTTTACTTGTACAAAGTTTTTATTTTAAATAATAGTTATAACAATTTTCATGATTTAAGAATGATTTATTTATGCTTTATTTTTGTTATTAATGCTTAAATTGTATTATTTTTTATTTATTATTCATTTATGAATTATTTATTTATACATCGTTCAATTTTGAATGTCCATACTGAAAGGAAAAAAAAAAAAAGAAAATTATTCAAAACCATATAAGCAAAGCAAAAATAGTGAAGGAAAATGTGAAACGATAAAAGTTAATGGGGTGAAACACCATTTTTCAATCCCTATCATGCAATTTATCAGCATTAAAAAAAAAAAAGAAAGAAAGATAAATATTAAAATAATCATCACCTCCAAACATTTATAAAAGGATAAAATATTAAAAATATATATATATATATATACCCATAACAGCAGAAATAAAACAAGAAACGGGTTTCAGAAGTACTATCAACACAACAGGAGGAAATATACAAATCCCTCACACAGTGAAAAACACAGCATAAACCAAGACATGTAGTTACTCAGACAATTGCATTTCGGATTTGCCGAAATGCTACAATTTTCGAATAAAAGTAAAACCAAGATATGTAGTTTTGTCGAAACGAGCATTCTTCTGGTGAAAAATAAATAGAAAAAACGGCTAGTCCTTGTGCCCTATATCATTGTCTGGAACGTCGTCTTCGCTTTCAATCTCCTGAAAAAAAAAAAATCAACTTGTTCAAATAACCTAATATGTGGTCCTCCAAATTAGGAATCAAGTAACACATAAATCCTACAAAACTCGTAAAAAAATCTGGTATCCTCTGAACCGACAAGACCGAATATAGGAGTATATAAAGGATGCTATATTCCCCTTTCTAATACTGCAACTTCCACCTTACTGGAAATCTGAAAGTGACTTACAGCAGGTAATGTCTTCTCGTGTTCTGTAAGTAATCCCTGCTCTACAAGTAGCAACCTTCTTTTTATAAAATCAACGAGTCTTCTATTAGTGGCTCCTTTATGTGCATCTGCTCCAACATCAGTAGTTTCAGGAGCTTCAACACGTCCCGATTTGACATCATTTTGTGTTTCAGAAGAAGCAGAAGTAGGAACATGCGGTTGAGAAATACCAGAAGAAGAGGATCGAGCCTGAGATTGTGCTTGAGAAGTTACTGACGCAGCAGGAAGATTCAGCTCTTGACAGATCACTTCTTGTATTTTCAATTCCTTGTCCTCAACAATTGCTTGCCATCTTCCAAACCCGTGTCTTGATGTTCATACAGCGAAAATGCACGAGTAAGCAGA